GGGCGGAACTCGCTTCACGAGCCGTCTATCCTGTTACTTTGTAAATCTGAAGATTACCTACATAGATTGATAAGCCAAACTTTAATTTAACTAGTAAACGTTGAGTAGTTTTACCTATTTCTAGATCTCGCTTCACGAGAAGGCTATGTAGGTACCTAATTATTTAATTTTAACTTCTTTATATAACCAGGGATAAATAGTTATTACTGTGTTTTATCTTATACGTTTTCTTTAGGGTTCTTGTGACGGGCACACACTTCTTGTGACGGGCACACACTTCTTGTGACGGGCACACACACTTCTTGTGACAGGCTGATACTTCTTGTGAAGGGCTATCAACTCTTGTGAAAGCCAACACTTCTTGTTACGGGCCAGTAGTCCTTGTGAAGGGCCAACACTTCTTGTGACGGGCCAGTATTCTTGTGACGGGCAAACACTTCTTGTGACCAGCTGATTGATTCGTAGGCTGCTAACGAGGCAGAGACATCAACGTCTTCTGGGAAGAAGTCACAGTGTACCGCAAGTTTTGCTATCTTATTTTTTTATATCACTTATTACTATTTAGTATATTTTATTGGGGGGTGTTATTAGTGTATAATTTTATCTAAACCTAATGTAAACGAGGTTTAGGGGTGTGGTTCACAGTACATTTTTATTAAACCCGAAACACTTCACCAAGAGCTCTTCGTGGGTTATATATTATTTATGGGTAATTATTATTTTTAATAAGTAACAGTATTTTACTTTTTTTTACCCCTAGCGTCCGTAAGTAGTACCCTATCAGTTGTTTATTGTTAAATACAGTACACACCTCATGTTTTATAATTTTACGATTACCCCTAGTCCCATTTAATGATTTTTAAGCTTGATATAGTATTTTAGTTATAAATATTACTCCCAGTGATACTGGATTACTGTTAATAGTTGGGGAATCTGTTAGTAAGGTACTAAGTGATTTAATTATTTGTTTATTTGTTAAATATCAGTACATTTCATAGTGGTAACGAAGTTGACCCCCCATGTCAACATGATTAACGATTTATATTATTAAACTTGGGTATATATTGAACTTAACTTATTATTTATTACCACTTGCTAACTGTCAACATTTATTTTTATGGTAAAGTACACTTTTAATATATTTGGAGCATACTCGATTTGTAGCCGCTTGATGGCCTTGTAGAGGAGATGCTATAGTTTCCTATTTGGAGTTTGGTAGTGAACTGTCACATGGATTGTTGGATGTGAGGTTAAACTCCTGGCGCCCACTGAAGAACCTAACTTTTACTACGACTCACCCCCTTCTTCACTGTAGTTAGTCGGCATCCAACTTTGGATTGACATAAATCCCACCTCGGTGCTTAGGCACAGAAAGTAGGTAGCACAATAGGGTCTCTAATAACAATATATGCTTAACAAAGTTTTTTTCTACATCTTGACTAAATGTGGTTGAAAATTGTTTTTTTTTTGTTTACATCATTTACTTTTTGTCCTAATGTGACCTGAGGGACATTAAAGAGTTTGGATGCTTTTAACCATCCCATTCGACCACCTCTTACAGCCTAGCATTCCGCATTGCTTCTTCATCCCAAGATTGCCTGGTGGATGTCCTTTCACGTTTACTAACCATAGTGTAGCTAAAAAAATGCTACAATTTCTATATTCAAATGTATTTGCGAAGTCTGGTTGTAAAATAACATAGTGCGTTATTCTACCTTCATGAATACCTATTTCGTTTTACCAGCAAAAACACGTGGTCCTTTATTCTTGCCTGATATCTTTTTTCTGATATCAAACAACAATTTCGCTTATGTGCATCTATAACACGTTTACAGTTATATCCTTTCGTGATTTCACTTTAAAATAAATACAATTTGGCTATGAACACACTTTCAGCACAGTACATTAAAAGTTTTTATGCAAGTAAAAATTATTTTTTGATGTTAACTGTTGCTTATCATAGTCACAAACCGAATGTAATGCAAACATAAAGTTTGGTTATCTTTTGCTACAGAAAACTGCAGCTGTCCGATAGATAGCATCAGTAGTTTCGAAATAAAAGGTACTAGGTCTTTTACATACTATGTCATTTTAGGACACTTTCTCCTACGAAACCTCATGCTCAATAAATATCCCAAGAAGTCTCCCTTTTTTGTATGAACTGCAGTAAGTTCTGCTTCAGCCAAAAAAAATGTTACAAATTTTAAAATTCACATTTTTTGTTATTACACATAAAAACCTAGATGAATACTTTAACAGGTTAAGCGCCATGGCAGACACGGGTGTCCGCTTCAAGTTTTTTCACATGGACCATGGATGTCACCGGTGTCCGCCCGATTATCGAATTTTTATTCATGCGGCTCGGCCAAGCGGACGCACTTTTATAGAATTTTTTAATACTGTGAAACCGCCGTGGCCCTGCTTTACACATCCCCGGTTCTGGGTTTCTTCTATCACGTTTCGTGTGTGTCCGCTATGGCCCAGGACTGAAAGTTCCTCGTTTCCCCCAGGTACTAACAACCCATCAAAAATACATTTGGAAAAAAATTATTTGTCGAATATAAAAGTAACATAAAATCAAATATTATTTCTTGTGGAAATCGTTGAAACAAGAAAGACAAAATCTTGGATTGCCTACACATTGCACACAGTAAGTTGTCACTTTTTTACTTTATTTTTGTCAAGAATACCATCCTGCTTTTTTTTGTAGCAACCTTTGCAATACCGTCTATTTTCACGAGCTTTGCAGTCTAATTTCGGAAGTACATGAGCTCTCAAGCTTTCAATAGATGTGGGGTTCTGCAAATCTTCTGAATTATCGTCGAATAGCAATAATTCTTCAACAACCGAATATCGAAAATCTGTTATGGATATATTGCACTCTTCTGTCTTTTTGTAAATAAAATTCGCATTGACCATGGAGGTTCCTAAAAGTACCTCTATAGCTACCTTTTTATACCACCGAACACTTCTTCTCAACGGCGTGCTATAGCTAAACGTCTGATCCGACACGTCTATTGAACTTTTACCATTGTTGTAATCTACGATTGCTTTAGGTTTGTATACTACACCACCACGGCATTGAACTACTACTGTTTGATGAGTGTGACAAGTGGTCAAAACTAACACATCCCTTTTGTCGCGCCATTTCACACTACATATTCCTCGTTTATTTTCTTGAGCGATAATTTCGCCCTTTTTAAGTTTTTTGGAAATTACTTCTGGAGGGTTTACCTTGCGACTACCTCGTAATGTTTCGAGTGAGTGGGTTTTGTGATCCAAGAGGGTATGTGCTAGCTGCATGCTTGTGTACCAATTGTCTGTAACACAAATCCTACCGCTCTCTAACAGTCCATCTACTAGGTTCATTACAACTTTGGTGGAAATGGGTATTTTATCAGGATTTTCATCTCGTTCTTTCCCAGAATTTCCCACAATTCCAAGTGTATCCATTTTCACAACAAAGTTTGAAAATCTTAATTCCATATTTATGCCCTTTTTGGGGGTTATATTGTTTGAACAGCAACCTACCTTGAAAGGGCACTACTGTTTCAACTACACAGAATGTCTTTCCAGGTGTGTAGATATATTGCCAGTTTTTCACTAGTTTGTCAAAAAGCGGTTACACTTTATATAATCTATCTCCTTTTGGGCATGCCTTGTTGTCAGAAAAACGAAACATTTTCAATAATAGTTCGAATCTATTTCTACTCATAATTTTATGAGCAACTTCGTTTTTGAAAAGCCATTTAGTGGACCAATAATCACGAATGGTATTTATTCGCACAATGCCCATATATCCCAGTAAACCTATAAAATGCAAAATTTCTTCTCGGTTAGTTGGCTCCCAAGAATGAATTCGGGCACTATTTGTAATATTTTCTGTATCCATCACACATTGGGTCGGATACAGGTTAGTTTGGTACACTAAGCCGATGTAATTCTCTTGATTATCAAATTCTATTTCCTGGATTTCATCTTGAACCTCATCGTCACTATTTTCTGATTCAGCCTATTTTTGCTCTTTTTGTTTTGACAATTTAACACTTAACTGAAGATTTAGCAGTCTCGGCCGATTTTTTTAACATCTCTCTTGTAGATTTACTTGAATTACTTCTTGTGTCACTCTCTTCAGCTCCTGAACTATTATCCGATGGTATAAACGCCGCGTCATCGTAAGAATCGTCTAAAAATGGTTCCTCGTCAGAACTACTATCTGTAAAAAAATTGGTAATAAGTCAGATATGTTTATATTTATTAAGCAAAAGTATAATTACCTACCTTCATAATGTTTTTCTAAAGCTAATTTTACAATTTGTTTTGAACGTTTACTCATTTTTAGTCACTGTCTAATGCCACACACGTGTGACTGCGAACCTCAATAACAAATAATTATTTGCTGATTGCTGCTTTTGCAAGCTCTGGCATATTCAGTAAAAGTGAAAGGGCTATGTCGTAAGAGGGAGTGGTACCCCTATCAAAATTACACCTTTTTCAGGCCATGGCGGACACCGGTGTCCTCCGCCTATCTGGCAGGGCCACGTCGAACACCGGTGTCCTCTCGTCTTTTTTTTTGAGAAAAAAAAAGTATGAACACAACATATTCAAATCTATCCAAAGAACAAGATTCAGGCAAAAAAGTGTGTTGGCCCAGGTGGTAGTTTTGTTCCAAACAGCTTGGCGCTTAACCTGTTAAAACAATTCTTCAAGATGCTGAAGTTTTCATATCAGTGGCATACGCTAATTTGGCGTTCTACAATTTGAACCCCATAAACAGCGTTCAACAAAAAAAAAACATTGTTCAAAATGACACTTCCCTTAATAATATAAGAAAAAAGAGATTTGTTGAATATTTGCATATAAATGTTTAGTCAATTAATGTAACTTATGTTAATATCTTAGATATATCATCAAAAAAAAAAACCCATGACGATTGATTTAATATTTTTATAAGAACTGTTGTGAATATATCTAATTACTCATTTATTCCTTATCTACAGCTCAATCAAAGCCAGCTTCTACAGTCGCGCCCAACAATGAGCAAAAAGAACCAGGTCCTCCAGCAATATCTTCAGAAGTACCGCAAAAGTCCTTACACCAATCTCAAAGTCAAACTCCGGCATCACCATTGAAGACCACAGATACACAAAACCGTCCACAACCGCCAAAAGAACAAATATCCGTCGACGATAAAATTAAACCGGAAACAGAAACCAAACTAAAAATAGAAAGAAAAGCAAGTGAGAAAATTGGGGACACAAAACCGCCAAAAGAACAAGCATCCGTCGATGATAAAATTAAATTGGAAACAGAAAACAAACTGAATATAGAAAGAAAATCGAGTGAGAAAGTTGAGAAAACAATTAAAGATAAAACTAAACGAGATGACAAACAACAAGTGAATCAAGGCCCAGTATTACCAGAAGATAAGGGAAGTTCGACTGCGTCATCAGCAAAATCGAAATTAACTGGAAAAGTTCGAACAGGATGGATTTAAATTTTCCCATGGATCTTTATAAAAAGTTCGCTTATTAAACAAATAAAAACAAACATTATAATATACATGGAAGGTGGTAGTTAAGAAGACGATGACAAGAAATTTTAAATAATTTGTTCGAGTCTATCATTGTAGTTTTAATATACAAATACGATGCTTTGGCATTTATGAATAAAGGTCTCTAAAAATCTGAAGGTAGTTTGCTTTATATCAAATTGGACAGAATAATTCCATAAAATTGTTTTAATCAGGACCAATCTGGCTAAATTTGGGGTACTTGGGGTTTTATCAACACAACGGCCCTCTTACATTGCAAGAGTACTTTTTAAAATATTTTTCTGCGCGCTCTTTTTTGGCGGTACTGGTATTATTTTCGTTTTATTTTCGCGCTTTTTAATGATGTGTGCCAGATCCTATGTAGTCGACGACTAGTCCACGACCTGTCCAGGATTGCGACTAAATTCGGAACTTGGTTGTGTTGGAACACATGTTTCTATTGTCAGACATACTTTTTCAATAACGTAAAAGTAAAAAAATAATACCAGATGTTAAATTTTGAATTTGGTAAATAAAAAAAAATTATAAAGCCGAATCGCCTCCTTCTCTCTGGTCTTCATATGTAAAAAGTAGGTTATTCTGTACCCAGGAACTGATTTAGCAGTACAAAAACTGGTTTGAGTATGTTGGAAAACTATTTTTGTACAGTTTTGAGTCCGAGGTTTGTTGAAACACCAAATCTAGACTTCGCAGAATCCCGACAGTACGTAAAACGATTTGCTATTGTGTTGGAACAAACCTCTATTGAAATTCTTTTCATGTTTGTGTATTTCTATAGCCTCCAAGTGTAGTCAGGTCGAGTAAGGTCTTGATGTTGCTAGTAGGTCGGTGTTTTACAAAAAGGATCTTGTGTTCTCTGTCTGATAATATGTGTTCGGCAACTGCAGATTTTTCGGTTTGTCCTAAACGACAACTTCGTTTGTGTTCTGTTTGTCGTGTACCAATGATTCTTTTTGTTTGTCCTATGTATATTTTTTCACAAGTGCATGGAATTCTGTGGACTCCTGCTGAAATGAGGAAGTCTCTCCGGTCTTTTGCTGTTTTAAGGTATTCCCCTATTTTTTTGTTGGCTTGTAGATAGTGCCGATTTTCTTTTTTTTTTTTTTCAATATTTTGCAAATTCAGCCAGTGATACCTTCTTCGTACGGCAGATAAACAGTTCCTTGGTTTTGTTCTTCACTAGACTTGGTCTTATTCTCCCTTGGTTTAGTAAATTCTGGAGATCTTTTCTTCCGTGGTTCCAGATTACAAATATGTCATCTACATACCTCAGCCAATTCTTTCGTTGTTTTTCAGCACTGCGAATAGCTTTATCTTCAAATTTTTCAATGTAAAATTTGGTCACAACTGGCGACTTCGTCGATTTGTTCATAAAATGTTTGATTCCACTGGAGATATGATGTTGTGAGCGAGTGCCGGAAAAGATTGATGAGCTCTTGAAAAAACTCCCCTAAGTAGCTGACTACTTCTTTGAGTGGCACATTTGTGAATAAAGATATGATGTCAAAGCTGACTAGGATGTCGTTAGGCTCCAAGTTGATAATTTTTAGGTGTTCGATTAAGTGCGTAGAGTCTCGCACGTAGGTTTTTGTATTGATCACGTGTGTTTGCAGACTTTCTGCCAGATGTTTGTTCAGGTTGTAAGTTATTGATCCTATGACACTTGATATTGGTCTTAGTGGTACATTATTTTTGTGAATTTTCGGTAATCCATATATTCTTGGTGGTAGACTGCTTTTATTTAAATGTAAAATACCGGGCTCGCGGTATGGTCGCATCGAACCTTAGGTAAAAGAAAAAACAGATGATGCATTTCATTCATTAAGTATGTTTTGTTTGGTCCCAATCATCGGAAAAGAGAAAGAAGATATTTTATGCGGATCGAAAGAAGACAGACTGTAATCGAAAATCTCGTCTGGCAACGCTACTGTTGTACGCAAAGTCTGTTTATACCAGTGGCGTATCTTATTAAAGATAAAATCATAACTAATTATAAAAAAATAATAAAATACTAACCGATATGGTGTGCAATAAACTTTATAATGGTTTAAACTTTAAAACCGATTAGATTTGGTATAAGGGTATGAAGTTCAGTGGAATGTAGGTAAAAAGCTTAAAAACACTATTTTTTCCAAGAATAATACATTTATTACATATAAAGATGTTAAATAAAATAAAATAAAAACAAGATAAATTTATCAATATTTAATTTAAATAAATTTACGAATTCAATTTTGGGGTTAAAATTTGAACAGTTTTACAAATTGGTAAGTGAGAGATTTTTAACACTATTAGTAGATTTATATAAGTTATTAAATCAATAAATTTACCATACTTATATACAAGGTGGGGATTTTAAATGGAACGCCTCTTATATTTTGTAAAATCCCAAAACACGTAGAACTGTACAACAATAAACCTATCCACTGATAGTTTTTAACTTGTAAAACTAGGCAGTAAACTAACTTACTTATTACCATCCATAAATGTGTGCGGCATAGATAAATTATCTTCTGATTCCTTACTAGAGCTGTCAAAAATACTGATACTGGAATCAGAGCTGTAACAGAGTATTCAGAACTTTTAATGTAAAGGTAAGTATACATTTTGATTAATAATAAGGTAGTTCATGAAAATAATCAAAGAAGGAGGCATGTAATATAAGTTTATAAAAAAGTTTGTCCTTGTTAAGCACCTACAAAATTTAAAGAACTTACAATATAAAAATTTCTTTGTAAGATTAACTACCAACTTTCATCTTAAAGGATAAACACTTAAATGAACATTTCTGAAACGTAATTAAGAAAGGTTTTAGTTACCTAGATGAGCTTTCTCGAAACAATGAACTTAGTTTTGGCAGTGCTCCATGTTTGAGATATTTGCTTTTTGAAGAATATCATTAGAATTAAAATGCTCCGAGCATAACACTCTTTTTTAGATACATTCATTTTCTTCAAATCCTACAAGTGATAGCCAAATATTTCTTGTATGCCTTTCAGTTGGGAATCTAAAAATCAAGCATCAGCATATTTATTTCGCCACTATAGTCCAGACTAAAGTGTTTCTATTAATTACAATTTTTTGCGAAATTAATAATGTTGAAAGATCAAAGAAAATAATAGTAATATAAAAGTAGATAATGCATGTGATATTACGGCAAAAATCTTTAAATCTACACCACTGAACTATGCAATACATCATCACCTAACCTTACTTACTTTTGAAAATATACTTCAGCACCCACATTTTCCAGTTTTTTGCTCAAAATGCACTCGCGAACCATGTTGTTAGCTATACACAAGCCGAAATTTTTCCAAAAACGCCTAAAGATTAACAAAAACACCCAATATGCAACAATTTACTGAATCGCAACGTCGCAAACTATCGATGGATAAAATACTATACGTCACGGACGTCACAAAATTATTTTAAATTGCGGTGATGTCACGTTTAACGCTTTTAAAATCCTTGCATTTATTTGCAGAAATATTAATGGTGTTTGCCATAGTTTATCTTAGTATTTGCAAAGTTGTGATTTACGCCCGTATGCACCGTACACGTTTAATCCAGATTAAGGGTTTAATCGCGTTTAGTACCGTTTTTAGCTATGCACCGTAATAAAAATCATTCTTAAACCGATTTTATTTTAATCCGTCAATATCGGAGGATTAAATTATTTTAACGAGATTTTCTAACGTCAAAAAGATGTCAACGGTTTGTCAGTGTATTTGGAACTTTCTATTTGTGTCTCTTGTATTTGAATTTTATTAAAAAACGGAAATAAAATGCCAGTTTTTCCTGGAAGGTGACAAATATTCTAGCCAAAATTACGAGAGGAATGAATATTTTTATACCATGGGCAATTTTGTAATTTTTAAGAAGTTTTTTATATTCTAACGTTACTACATAATTCTATAGTTAGATGGCAAATCCGGGTATGTTGAAAAGGGTAAAAATAAGTAAGCAATATATATATTATTTATGTAATATTGTCCACTTTTAAATACTGAAAATATGTCATCTAGTTTTGAACATGCACAGTATAGGGACAGTATTCATAGGTATATCGTTTTGCATAGAAAAGCTTGAAATACAGCAATTTGTATGTATTATGTTACTTGCGAAAAATGTTATTGGTTTTGCCATCTAACCATAGAATTATTTTTTAAATTAATTTGACATTCTTCTTTTACCCTGCGTAAAATTTGATATACGGTGTGTTTACGGTTTTGGTACATTCAAAAAAATGGGGCCTCCATCTTCAAACGGCCTCTTTTCCTTTGACAAACATTTCTCCAACTCAAATCTGAAGTTTTATTCTTCTCTTTTTTTGTAAAATTTATAAAAATCCAGTGTTGTCAGATTACTAAACTCGATTATCTAATCCTTAGCCGGCGCATAGAAAATAACCACTAGTCATTTAAACGAGATTTACAAATCTGGATTAAATTTTAAAACGGTGCATATGGGCGTTAGCAAGCGTATGTATGTAAAAACGGTAGGTACAAAAATGCCCTGCCTAATGGTGTAAAAATAGATGCTGCTAAAATATCAAGTCTGCTGAAAGCAGTTAAACTAGATTAATCTACTTTGTACACATTTTATACGTTTTTTGTTTTGTTACAAGTCATTTTATTTAGAGTTTTACTATTAAAAATGTTTCTGGAAATATTGCAACATCTCGGCCTACAATGCGTCGGAGTTGGAAACACTGCATTAGGTACGAAAATTAATTGGTGGGGACGCTTGATGTGTCGCAATATATCTCGAAACTATTCTAATTAATAAAACTTGTTGCTATTATTGAGTTATAGGTAAAAACTATTTTTAAATATAAAAGCTACGTTTCATTGCAATGTATGACCGGGTTTTAAATGTAAATAGAGAAGCTTTGCATCGAACCCATGGACGTATGTCTGGTATTAATCTCCAGGTCCACTGCGTGTTGTTTTGATGTTGTGTACATCTATCCTGACATACTTTAAGCATTTTCCTCTTTGCATTTGTTGTCTTTTATCTGTGTTTTGTGTAGAAGACATCTTCGCTTTATCTTCAAATTTAGCGGGAGTTGTCCTGAAACGGTTCTGTATGCTGAGGCAGTTCTTAGTAGACATTTCCTTTGG